CGCGAACGCTGAGCCGCCAGACGAGCCTGCTCCTGCTGTTTATCCAGCTGACCCTTCATCCAGTTGGCAAGGTGGAGCGCGTTGGACTTGGAGGTGCCAGTTTTGTTCAGGATGCGGCACTTCTCGTCGATTAGCATCTCGATTTGATCGGATGCGTTCGAATGGCGTTTCTGCTGCATAAACAATACAAATGCATACATACATATGTACTTACATTGCAGTTTGATAGTTCGAAGAGATGCAAGGATAGGAGGATAAACTCAAGGGGAGGTCAAGAAACGCCACGAGAATGTTTGTTTTTTTTTGTATTAAAAGATATACACAAAAGACTGCGAACTGTGACCGTTTTTTGTGACAAACCGATAACAAGCGAAATCTGGTCTTATGTAAACAAAAGACTTAAGCAGCGAACTTGCTAAATCGCTAAATCGCGCATTTCTGTTTCAAAATGGAAAATTGTGATGGTCTCTCATTATTCTTTCGTGCAAAATAGTTTATCTTTATTTTTTTTTGTTCAAGAAAAGTGCAAATCGTTCAAACTATTGCACACAAAATAAATTAGAAGTCAAAATAAAATTAACAAAAATTTTTTTTCTAAATATCTACAAATACAAAATTCATATGTCATATTAATCTTTGATTAAAAACGCTTGTAACAAATAGAACTGAGAACTCCGCAAATCGTTGTGCTTTGTTATGCCGGACGAAAGCTTGAGCGCGCGAAATTAAAAAAAGGAGTAAGAAAGGTACTTTTCTAGACAATTATTGCTCAATATTTTTGGCGATAGTTTTTTTTTTTTTTGTTTTGTAAGTAAAAATAGAAATAGAGTCCATCACAACTTTCAATTTTGGTTGAGTTAATTTATTTTTTGGTTGTTTTTGGTCATTTCAATGCCTGATTAAGTATTGTTTGTTTCAAAGTGGGGTAGAAATCGGTAGTTAAATTGATTTTATTTTCATTTTTTAATAACTCAAATTCATGAATTGCGAATTGTAAATAACCAAAACAAGTAGCTGCTTATTTTATTTAATTTTTTAATTTTTTTTTAAGAATACCAGGCAACATGTTGTTTGGCAAAGGAAATCAGGAAATGAAACAAAATGAAAGAGATACAGCAGTGGAAACTCAAAAAAAAAAAAAAAAAAATGACACTGAACGACGAAATAAATTCACAAGCGTTTTTATTCAAAGAACCACAATTTTATTTTATTTTCATTCATTTATTTTTATTGTATCAATTTCAATTGCAATTTAATTTTTTTATTTGCTTTCTCTTCTTCGCTTTTTTGCTATAAGTTAAAGTAATATGATTTACGATAAATGAAAATCACTTTCTAATAATTACTAATATTAATTTGAATGAATTAATGCAACTATAAGTTTTAAATGTAGGTAATTAGGCTACAATGTTTTAACTATGTATATGTATATGTATATGTATGTATATATATGTGCAAACATTTGTATGTAATGAAATTGTGTATGTATGCACGTACTATGTACTCTGGTATGTATTCGTATGCTATGTATTGCTTACTAGTGAACTTTACAGCTATTTATGCAAATTTATTTTTGAACTTTGCTGAGCGACTAGCCTAGAGCGAGTTTTAATTTTTTTATTTTTCAAAAAAAAAAAACACATCGATGTTTTCATATGGGTAGTATTCTTTAATGAAATTTACACGAATTTCGATTCGATAAGAATTGATTGTAAATTACTTGTATTTGCTTTCTTGGGCTCACACACACATGCATTGGTGAATTCTGTAAGTGATTTTATTTGCCATCGAATTTGATTTTTTCTTATTTCTTATCGTTCATGAATTTATTAAAATTCTGTCTACGTTTTTCTTTTGTAAATTTGTACTAACTATAAACAAAATTGAGCTTCTGTATAAAATAGGAATTTTGCTACTTGCAAAGGGAAGTGACTGGAAGCGTTGTTTGATAAAATGTTGGTTTAACTAGCTCTATTTTGTAATGGGAATCGATAAATCAGCTCTTTCTCAACAAAAGCGTTAGAACGAAAATTAACAAAAAATCTACAAATTTGAGCAACAAATGCTGTAACATACTGGCAGCTTTCGTTTCTAGTTGTGAGCGTCCGTTTGTCTTGTTCTTATAGGAACAAAGCAAAAACACTAGAAATGAGATGGAGGATGGCACTACGCCGAAACAGGTTTGCTTCCGCAGAAAATTTGGAAACGAGTGATGGAAATTAGTTTCGAAATGCAAAACAGAAAATAAAAACTGTAATTAGGATTGGTGATTTATAGATTTTGCACCATTTTTTTTTTCTTTTGACCTTCATACGTTTTTATGAAATTTCACCATAAATCTGTAGTACAGTCAAAGGACATTCAAATATGAAAATCAATCGGAAATAAAAACAGGATCGCTAAACCGAGAGGGTCGACTACATAATTTGCCTAACTTCGAATGCACATTCAGTTAATTTGGACTTTCATTCTTCTAAGAATGTAAAATAACCATTGCGGTCCATGAACGCTCCACTTCTAATATAATGAACAAATTTCTAATGACTGGTCACGACGAACTGTGGATATCAAAGAAGTCTATAATAAATTGGGAAAACCTTAAGTACACTACAAATATACAAATCAGTCGAATCCTCATTTTTTCAAGGTTTCTGAATTCCTGCCGTAAAAAAGTATTGCAACAGAGAATTTTTTACAATATACTATGCCACAATTTTTCTTTTTTCCCGCTAACTTTTTTATAAAAATATGGTTCATACTACAACAAAAAATATGATTTCTAAACTTTGGACAAAACTCGAGAAAATTCAATTAAACTTCAACTTTTTAATCAGATTTTTTTTTAGAATTTTTATCATAATAAAGTGGAAGCCTGAAGGACCTTGGACTTGCCGTTGATTTTTGGCAATTTTTTCACGTAAATAGTTTCTTCCATACGAAAACAAAATTTCAAAAATATTTTGTAAGGAAAAAAAAAATCTGAAAACTCAGCGCGAAATTTCCATATTTTATACTAGAATTTAATGTGCTACAAAACTGCTTACTAAAAAAAAAAATTCAATAAAATCCATTGCATTTTCGAGTTTTGCACGAAGATTTTTTTTTATGTATATATTGTGAAAAATTCTCTGTGCCAAAACTTTTTACCTACGGTGTATCTTTAAGAACTTAAAAACCTACTTTAAAAAATAAATGTTGTTTAAAAAATCTGTTAATACAATTTTCTACTTTTGTTAAAAAGTTCATTACAAATGAGCATTAAATTATTAACTACAAAAAAAAAGCTAAAAATGTTCATATTTTTAAACGCTAAATGTAAAATTTCAAAGACCCAGCAATAAATTTCCAAATATCGAGAAATAAAATAATGTTTTAAACTACTATATACATATGTATAACTGTTGTATTAATTTTCCAAATTTTTTTCAATTAATACGACGCATAAAAACTTCAAATTTTAACAACTTATTCGCTAATGCACTTATCAATGAAAACAAAAAAAAAATGCTTAAAAATTTTCCACACTTCTATCTTTTCGGTAACTACAAAAACTCTTAATGAGTAAACAACCGTTTTTGAATATCAACTACTTGTAAATACATCAAATTAATATGACTGATTTATACTTATTTCTAATTCACTAGTGATTTCAAATCATTTATTTCTAGTCGACATGCAAGTTTTGAGCCATCATTAACAATTTTCCATTTTTTTTTCGAACGAAATGGCGGCGAGCATTAGTCAGCCCTTAATCTGGCCTTATTAGTGTAGAAAATGCATCGCGGAACATAGGTATGTATTTATGTATAGGTAACTAAGCCGAAACCATATTTAAGCTGAGGCTACTCGCATAAATAAGTCTCAAGCGCTTTTTGTCTACTTTGTAGCTTTGTGGTTATACGAAATACGATAACAATAAATTTAATATTTAATTAAATATGTCTTCCTAAGTAAAACTCCACTATCTACTCTACTTGAGACCTATGTACGTACTAAACAACCATAAATTACATAAGTTTTGAATTGCAATTGGTTTCGACTCCTTTTTGTTGGGGCTGAGTTCGACTGACAACCGGCTGTACAACTCCGCTTGGTATTGATGGGTGTGGGGGTGGGGGTGGAGGTCGCGCACAGCACAACGCTGCACACACGCGCTGACCGCAACGACGCACCTGTCAATGTTGAGACCGGTTGGGTGGTTAGGGGCACAATACCAACAACAACAACAACAAGGACAGAAAACAGTAGCTGGATTATGTAGGGGTAGTGTAGCGTGCGAGTGAGTGCAAGCAATTGCTGGATCGAAAGCGATCCGTGCAAAAAACCTGTCAGCTGTGCCGGTGGGCGGTGTTTACCATTACAAAAGCGTATTCTATGCCTTACCCTTAGTTTAAAATTGTATAGATTTTACTTAGTTTTAGATGAAAGTTTCAAAAAAAATAAGTAACTAAAAGAAAAACAACCTCAGGATAAGCTCACAATTGCCAAAAGTCTAATACACGCATATAAATGATCAGTCTGTACGCCTATGTATGTATGTATGTATGTATGTATGTCGTTAGTCTGTCGCAATTCGCCCTCATTGGCTGTGTTTCTACTCAACGTTAATAAACTCAGTTGCTTAAAACTTGGTATTCAATTTGGCACTCAAAGTCTTCGTCGTCTCCGTTACCCTCCGTTACGTCCATATCGTCGTCATCGTCGCAAACATATGCTTCCTCCAGCCAAAAGTCAAATCACAGATCCAGCGAGTCCGGTGGGGTTGGCTTTGTTGGCAATACGCCAAAGGGGTCGTCCACGACCACGCTCACATCGATCTCATCGTCTTCGTCCACCTCGTGCTCGTCGCCCATGAAAATGCATTCCTCCACATCTGTGTCGTAGGATGGATCAATATTCACATCCTGCAAGTTCATGTCCAATTCTATCAAATCCCACGAGCCACCAAAGGCGGCCAGTGGTATGTCCTTGGCGGAGAGAGAATTCGTCCGTTTTTTCTCCTTCTCCAATTTTCCGTTGATGTTGACGTTTACGGATTGATTCAATTTGACATCTGAGTTGGCGTTAGTGCCTGCTTTGCTGGGTTTTTCGTGATCCTGTGTTTTAATATTCTGCGAGGGCACGAAATCGTTGGAGAATGCATCAGAGTTACACGGCTGCGAGGAGGGCGAAATGTTCGGTGTGGGCGTGTCGGGTGTTGTCAGTGAATGGTTGTGGGAGTCGGTCGGCTGTGCTACATCGCTCTCATCGATGAAGGAGCGACCCACAGAGCTAAGTGAGAACTCAAGTAATTTGGGTGGTCGGCTGGCGGTGGTGGCCGTCGCGGCGCTGCGCACACTACGCGCTGGCGTCGCTTGCAGCGTACTGTCACTCCGACGACTTGAGCGTCCGCTGGTTTTCGCCGTTGTGGTGACGCAGTAACGCCCCTGGCCGTCGATCAAAAGCAGCCGCTCACCGCCGTCGGCGCAACGTTGTTGCAGGAAAAATGTGTCGATGTCATGTTTGGCATCTGCACCGCTGGCTTCGCACGCCACTTCTGGAATGGCCGTGAGGCACTTGCAGGAAGGCAAATGTTCGCCCGAACAGATCGTCTGCGTGTTAAGACTGCTGCCGCTGAGGCTGAGCCAAGTACTGGAGTTGTTCGCACTCGAGTTATAGGCGCGTGCAGAGGCCAGAGGGCGTGCGTCCAGCTGCTGGGCGATCAAGTGGCGGCGAGTGAGTGTTAGTGAGCGCAAGGAAGGGGCGCTGTCTGTGAGACCACCAATGCCGGCGATGCCACCACCGCCGCCACTACCACTCCCAAGGCAACCTGTAAGTGTGTGGCGCGCCGGCGATGCTGTTTGAGAAGAGCAGGAAGCGGTGTGCGTGGTTTGGGTCATGCGTGTGCTGCAGCGCGAGGCGACCAGTGTACTTGCGAGACGCTGTAGGTTCTCAAAGGAATCGCCAGTGGCCAGTTGACCATCATGGCGGAATAAACGCACCTGTTGCTGGCTGTTCTTCGCGTTGATGCTGTCCATGGATAAGTGTTTCACCGAGCCTATGGATGCGGACGCGATGCCAATATCACTAAGGGGCACCAAAGTGTTGAGCACATCGGGAGAATCTAGTGGACTGGAGAGTGGCGTTGAGCCAAGCGCGGCATTCACCAGGAAACTGCGCATAGAAATTTAGTAAGGTTAAACCGGAATTTAGAAAAAAAATAAAATTAACTTACATTTGACGTTGCAAAAGATTCTGCCAGACAGCTTTTAGTTCTAAAGAGGGCGCACGGAGCAAGAGGCTCTTGCGACGAGCACTCTTCTTTGGTGTGCGGGTCAAATCTGGTGCACAATAGCCCGTTGGACTTTCGGCTAAGCGTCCGTTGGGATCCACTGTAAGTCGAAACTCTGTGGCTGCAATGTAATAAGAAATCGCGGTCACAAGTCAGCTACGCCGCACGGCAAGTGCAACAACTTACTTTTCTTGCGCATGTGAAAGCATGAATCTACAATATTGGCGATTGGAATGGGCTCCTCGGTTATGAACAGCACGCGATCTCGGCTGACCTTTGCAAATACGATGATGTCACTAAAGAGCAAGGTCCAGTAAGGTTTCACGGAGCGGCCTTCCACGCGTGACAGGTCGCCGCCAAAAATCCACTGGCGTCCCTGAACGGCTAGCGTGAATGGCTTGCACTTCGTGAAGACCATGCGGGACTCGAGATCTTGCAACGTGAGCAAAGGTCGACCCTCGCCCAGCGGCTCCATCAAGCCACTGCTAACGGTTATCTCACGATAAGCGGCCTGTAGTTCCGAAATAACTGTGGTAAAGTTCTTGTGCTCCTCCGTGTCGACGTGACAGTTGGAAGCGAGTAGCTGCATTAGTTTCAATATTTCGCGGAAATGCTGTAAAGGCCTGTGAATGAACATGGTGAGATCGGGACGCTTGCGTGGCACTTGCGGTTCGGTTATGAAGGCAACAAACTCAGAGCCCATCTGCCGAGACTTATTGACCTAATGGAAGAGAGCAAAGAAAGTGCTAATTGGTGTACAATACGGTTCATTAAATATGGAGACGCTTACCAGCACACAATCGGCTCGCTTAATGCCATTGCAATACTTCTTGTAGGCCGCGCAGATTGCTGTGGTTTTCGAGAGATAGACGCGTGAGGCGAAGTTCATCTGTGGCTCCTGGTCATCGTTGCATAGCTGCTCTAAAATATCCTCGGAGATGCGCACCAGCTCATCGATATTCTGGAAGAGTGTGCGATGATCGCTTGGCGAAATGAGATCTTTTCGCTCCTGCAACGGCTGCACGAATCGCTGCATGCCGAAATGCAGCGCCGCGATGAAATTCTGTTCGCGGCTAATCAGCTGTAGCAGCAAGCGACGACGATTGTCGGTGATGGGCCCGATGGACTGGGGAAAAGAGCAAAATTTTAATGAAAGGCTAAAAATGCATTTCATCATCTGAAATTCAAAAAGCCGTAACTAATAAAAAATCCATCGCTTTATCTAAAAAAAAAAAATGGTTTGTTAGTTACGGCCTTTTGCATTTCAGGTGACTATTCGCAGAACAAATGGCGGCTGTGACTCGTCAAAATTTATCCAAATAATAAGACAATTAAAATTTCAAAATAAAATACAAAGAAGCGTTTATTGTCGACATAGCAGCATTTTCCAAATACGTTTATATGTACATACATTATTTGAAAAGCAACTTAAAATAAATATTTAAAAGAAAGGGCACAAACTTAAACGAAAATGCGAAATATTCAAGAAAAGTGTAACAATTTATAAAATAATTAAATAAAGTGGTTCCATAGTGATTACCAGCTGAAAAGTAATAAAATAGAATAAAACTGAATTTTTAATGAAGTATTTAAACATTAATTTACAATGTATGTAGCTAAAATAATTGGCAACATTTCTCATAATTTATTTTTAATATTCGGGATGTTAGGGATAGTAGTAATCTCTTAAAAAGTTAACTAAGATAATGACAAATATTCGGTAGTAAAAATATTATGCGAAAATAATTTTTTTTAACTCGCAGCGCAAAATGAGAAATATATATTTAAAGAAATATAAGCCTATCGATTGTAGATTAGATGGCACTGTTCGATATCAAATCGGTAGGCTTTAATATAAAAATTCACTTGGTTTTGTTTGTCTCGGCGGCTTGCTAAGTAAGAACTTTGCAAAGCAACTTAGATTTCAGAGGATTAGCTCTACAAAAAGGCTGACTTTTTCACTCAGCTTTGAGCGTCAGCCGAGGCAACTTTGTGCTTTTAGAATTAAATGTCGCATATAAAAATGTATAAACCTACATATGTATATACATGAAATAAAATATGCAAATGATTGGAAATAAGAAAGAAATCATAAACAAATGTCACTTAAAATAGCTTAACTGAAATAAGTAAACTAAAGGTAGAAACGATAAACTCAAATCTAAATTTAACCAAATAAATTCGTTCACTTCGCTCCGGCAGCTGTTATTTCTCTTTGGCTGTCGGAAAATTTCCCACTCTCCCACTCTCTCTCTCAGACTATAACGCCTTTGCCTACCTCCTTACTGAAGGTGACCTGCGGCAGGTGCAGTCGCCTCTTCGCCGCCTCAATGGACGAGGTGGTGCCGACTGAACAGGCTGTGGACGGACGAACATTCATTGTGGAGGCCCCTGCTGACGGCCCCACAGCCACCGTTGGTGCTGCGCTTGCCACGCCAACGCGTCGCACTGATGGCGCTGTACCACCCGCTACCGACTGTTGTTCATCGCTTATGCCACCGGCTAGGCGTGTAGTTGATGTAGTTTTGCCATTCATGACCGGCGCCGCTGGATGCCCACGACTGCCAACACTGAGCGCTGGCGGCATAGAACCGAGTCCAACACCACCACCAGTGGGTCCTGATCTTCTGAACACCTCCAGCGTTAAGGTGGAGCCCTGTGAGCGTATTAAATTTAACACATCCGCTTCGGGCATCGTCACCACATTCTGCTTGTCTACGAAAATCACATAGTCGCCGGGCTGTATGCCGGCACGGTCGGCCGACATTCCGGGCTCAATCTTCTCGACGCGCGGTGGATGTGTCCACACAATGGAGAAGCCAAAGCCTCGTTCGGCAGTGCGTGTCAGCTTCTTGGTCATGGTGAAAGGTGTGCGACCGACTGGCTTGCTGGCAGCAGATAGACGCCGTGCACCTGAGGCGTTTGGTGTGGCATTGGCGGCGTTTGCGGGCGCTGTCGTCTCAGTGGGCGGATCCAATTCGAGGAAACGCAAAAATAAATTCTCATCGGCGTCGCGCTGATGCAAAGCCTTCCGGCTCAGTGTCATCGGATGTTCGATGTTGCCGCCGGCAGTCGCCTGAGCCATGCTGTCGATGCTTACGACATCCTCCTCGCTTTTCTGGCGCGTCAGTGTTGAGGTCATTGTAGATGTGGCGGTGACGAGACGCGTCTGTGGCACAAATGGTTGGGGTTGGACTTGGGGTTTTGGTGGCGGCTGCGATTGTGACTGTGGCTGCGGCTGGGCGTGAGTGTGATTGGGATTGAGTGGCGCTGGGCACGAGATTGGGTGCGTGTGGCCTTGAGTGTGCGGCGCGTGTGTAGCAACGGCCGGATACTGCAACGACACTGGCGGCTGTGGATTATTCAGACATGCCTGCGATTGTAGTTTGTAGAAGCCGTTAACGGGTTGCTGCAGCAACGTCTGTAGAGGAAAGGACATACATCCTAGAAACTCGCTCCGTCTGCAAAGAAGATGATGAAGGCAAACATTAGTATAAAAATTCATTGAAATTATGAAATACTTTTAAGATTCAAGTGCAGATTTTAAATATTCCGCATACTATAAGTCTGCTATATCTTATCATAATTTTTAGGCTGTACATTGCAATATAATTTAATTTATTTTTTTTTCCAGGATAATCACAGTAAATATGGCTTAACAGTTTCGCTGCTGGCAGATGAACAAACAGATTGGCAGCTGAGCTCGTCCGCTTCATACACCAAAATTTGTAATGCGAAACTTTATCTGAGCACCTAATCAGTGCCAAGTGAAAAGACTATAAATTCAAGTCAATCCCTTCATCCGATAACCTTCGCCAACACCCACAAGCATACGAATGACAAAAACACAAAACACAAAAAGCAAAAAGCAGAAGAAAAAGGCTAGAACAATGCAAAGCTGAAAACCGAGAAGTAAATTGTTGAGCGTTGAGTAAGAGTAGACGAAAATTGCTGCCAACAAAACCATCAACGACGTCAACGTTGACTATGCATTCCGCACATACGCACACACATAGATATACACAGGAAAAAGGAAAAAAAACCGCTTTGCAGAAGCAACAAAAAACTGCAATTTTTACAAGTGGTTGGCAGGGTGGCAAGGGTGCTATACTATGTGGCAACATTTGCGTCAGAAATTGCCTGTTGAGTGAATTTAAAACCGGTTGACAGCTCAACGTCCTCCCATCAGCATCCCAGCCGCCGTCTGTAGCGGCAACAACAGCCGCGAGTGAAAAGTGTTAAAGTGAATTGTAAAAAAAAAAAATTATAGAAATATACACTGTAGCGGTAATGCGAGGAAGCGGCGAGCAATAGGAGACAAACAGCCGCCGAATTTATGGCACCAGAACCAGTGACAGCACAAGTAAGTAGATACCGAAAGTTTTAATTTTATTTATTTTTATTTGACTTTATTTACGTGCTTAACTTCTTTGTATGGCTGACATTCTGCATTCTATTTATTGCACAACATTTCTCTGAACTTCTTTTCTGCTGTAAGCCGAAACATTAAAGAGTTTTTTTTTTCTGTACCCTCTTCTCATAGTAAATGGGTGGGAATGAAATTACGTAAAGTATATAATTTTTTTTCCGGCTGCTTTTGGCTTCGCAAATTCTACAATGAGCGTTGATAAACCCATTGAAGCGTGCCGCACTTGCAACAATTGCAACAGCAACAGCAGCACTGATGTTGTCATTTAATTACTACGATTTGCGTTATGTTCTTCTCTAACTCGGCTTCCTCCTTTGCTTCCGGCGCCACTTGCAACACTTTGATAATCCCAAAGTTGCATTCATTTTTCATGCCACTCTCCACGCCTCTCCCGCTGAATTCAGGCCAAAGTGCTTAGCAGTCATTTTTAATGCGATAAAATCACGCGACATTGCGGCGAATTTCGACACAGTTCGCTGTCGCTGTCGCTTTGGCTGTCGCTTTGGCTGTGGCTGTGGTTGCAGCCAAGTTGTTGTTGCGAAAATTTAAATGTGTATTAAATTAAAATGCTATTTCCTCTAATTTGCATATTAGAAGTAGTTGAAGATGTATTAAAATTTGTGGAGAAATTGGAGCTTTGCGATTTTGCTGGTTGGAGCAGCAGCTATGCGTGCCGTATACGTAACCTCGTGAAAAATGCGAGTGGTGATACATTTTTTGTGACTTTAAATAGAAATTCAAATAGGATAAAATTATAATTTTTATCATCTTAGATACAAATCTCGTAGCGGTATTTCTTTAAGTATCGGAGCTGTGCGCTTCATAATTCACTTATGGGCAATTTATGGATTTAGAAAATAGTCGAGATACTTATTAAAAAATGCTCGTCAGTTTTTCTGCTAATTTTGAAAAATCCTAGTGCTATTTACTTCCAGGTTACTTCCATTTGCCTTTTTAATAATTAGAAAAAAGACTACATGGCAGCTTAAAATGCTGGGGATATTAGAGTTTTTAGTGCAGTTTTTGTTTCAAGATTTTACATCGTTGTCGCCGCTAGTCCTTGGATGGGCGGGCGCCTGTGTACCCTGAACTTAACAATCATCAACAATCACCAACACTTCAGCGCACGTACCGGAACGAGTAATCTAATACCGGCAAGCTCATACACTTTAAAGCTCATAAAACAATAAATTATTCGCGCATACGTGCTTATACTGCATACACTATTCGAGTGCAAACGTGTGTGTGTGTGTGTGTGTGTGTGAGGCTGTCCAGTGTCCAATAAAGTAAAATATGTGTTTATGGTCAAACTGAAAACGAAAATTGCAACAATTTCCTCTTGAACGTATCACTTTATGATGACACCATAAAACTATGTATGTATGTATGTATGTCCAAATAAAAGCGAATGAAAAATTTAGTATAAAATTGTACAGCAGCAAAACAGCGCTCGTAGATGTCGTGTATGTGCATTTGTAAGCTTGTTTGCGGGCGGTTGGTCACGCGCGCCGGTCATCGATATTAATTTGGCAGCGTCTTAATTTCATCGCTTGGCGATTTTCTCGATTTCGTCGGTTCTACCTTCCTTCACTTGCCCGCAATTTCTATTTCTTTTTTTTACTTTCCAGGTTTCCCTAGCTCCCTAGGCTAGGATTTGATGCAATCTATTTGTGTGCTTATTCGTGCGTTGTGTTCATTTCCTTGATGATTGATGGTGGCTTTGTGTCAGCGATTTAGCGCTTGCTTCTTCATCTCCGTCCGCGCCGTTTATTTCTTACATTTGACCATTTTCCAACTTGTTTTGTGAGTTTCTAATTTGAAGTTTTTTCTTTGATTCGCCTTACTTTCTACTTTGCTGTCATAAAAATGTGAAATAGAATAGACAAAACCAGGAATGTGTCCAATAAAGGGAATAACAGGCGTTCATTGGTGCATGCCAATTGAATGAGGACAATCGAATGGAGGAGATCAATCAATCAATTGCATGACGTGAATCACTTTGTATTGTGCCTTTGGGGTATGCTGGCAGGCAAATTATTTTGTTGGGGTGAGCGCCAGTCCGATGGAATCACACGCAAAACCACAAAATCAATTTTATTAACAAATATGTATATATGTATTCAAATACATACTCGTACATATAATATCCAATACCTCACAATGAGTAGGTGAAATTTAACTTAACTTCCAATGTCGCTTTTTAAGTTTTTTCTACAAAAAACCTGCCTACCGTAGTTCGGCGCGCTTTACCAATTTATACCAAGCTTTGTACTGCTGTTGACTCAGGTCCAGTAGAGAAAAAGGTTGAAAGCTTTTGAAATCGGAAAATAGCCACCCCACATATCATTCTTTCCGTTTTTCAAATTTTCGTGGGATTTTAAATTTTTTCAGTATGGATTTTTTACTAGAATTTTGTAATTTTTTTGCACTTTTTGTAGCTAGTTTTCGCGATCTTTCAGGATTTTTCGGTATTTTTTATGTGGAATTTAGAGTCTTTTTGGATATTTTTGCGATTTTTTTGGAACTTTTCCTGTTTTTTACAGAATTTACAAATTTTTTTTCGGTATCTTTCAGGAATTTTCGACACCTTTTGCGCTTTTTTATGTTTTATGCGGGAAAATTCGAAAATTTTCTGTTTTACCAGTTTCCTGTTTTTTCGAGGCTTTCTCTGCATATTTTTAGGGAATTGTAAAAATTTTCGCAGTTTGAGAGTTTTTGGCACTTTTTGTATCAGTTTTTTTGCGATCTTTCAGGACTTCTCGGTAATTTACTTTTCACGATTTCGGAGTTTTTTTTAGACTCTTGGCATCTTTTTCGTTTTTTTTTTTGTAGAATTTGAGCATTTTTGGATTTTTTTTCGGGACTTTTTTCGAATTTTTCGGTATTTTTCGTAGCTTTATAATCTTAGCATTTCTATAGATGTTCGAAAGAACTTTTTCGGATTCTTTTAATTATTTTGGGATATTTAGACATTTTTTCGGTACCTTTTGGAAATTTTTGTGTTTTATGCGGGAATTTCCGAAAAGTTTTTTATGTAGCACTTCTCCGAAATTGTAAAGTTTAAGGTTTTAGAGCATTTCTAGACTTTCTGGCTGTTTATCAATATTTTTTGGAGGTTTTTGGCCTTTTAGAAATACTCTTTTTGGAATTTTGGAATTTTTTGGTGCATTTCGGTAACTTTCTCTACTTTTTTTGTTTTATGCTTGACTTTTCGAGAATTTTCAGGTCCAATGGTTTCGAAGCTTTTTTGTGATTTTTGCATTTTGAGAGATTTTCGCTAAAACTTTTCTGTAGCTGTTTTTTTTTTTCTGATAATTTGGGTCCTTGCGGATTTTTTTATTTTCGGTAATTTACAGAAATCCGAAAACTACGATAAATCAGTAATTATTCAAATTAATTCACTAAAAATCGATCTTTGCAAAATTGTCTTAGCAATAAATGTGATCACAAATTTTTGGAAAAATGGCATGTCACTGGCCACTTTTCACTACATAAATATGTAAATCTCCGTAGCAGACTTATCAATTTGTACCAAACTTGATTCAATTATTTCATTAAGTCTAACTAAGCATATTATCGAAATGAATAGTTTACAGAAAGCTTTCGCCTTTTTTTACTTGTTTTTAACCGACTTCCAAAAAAGGAGGAGGTTATCAGTTCGTCGGAATATTTTTTTTTTATGTATGTTACCATAACTTTGGACCACGTCAACCGATTTCGATAATTCTTTTTGCATCGGAAAGGTAGGGTCTCAGAGGTGGTCCCATACTAATCTGGTTTAGATCCGATCATTGGATCATGAAATATATAGAGATATATATATATTTGTTTTAAGTCGGTTTTTTTTTGCTAAAAATTACTTGTTACCAAAAACGTCTCCTGCACTCTGCTTACGCATATCCATAGAAGAATGCTTTGCGTGTTCTGCAACCGACTGAAAGTCATGCACCCTCCCACCTAGCCGCTGACACTAAAGCAAATACCACCAAATTTATATTTTGCGTGTTAGCGGTCATCGGTTTTAATTTCATT